TTTTTTTATATAATTGGAAGAGTGAGTAGCAAAGGAGCATCACTGTTATCTCCAATGCATAATCACCCTGATTCTCATTTGTCATTCTGCCACATATTTTTATTTATTTCACCTTGTTTTTTTTTTTTTTTCAGTCTAGTGTATAAATATTAATTAATTTCATATAAAATATAGTTTTTCTCATGTAATTATAGACATCAAATAAATTGTAAATTAAGAACATATGATACACATGAATAGAATGTCAAATCTAACTATTAGTTTGATATATTATAAATTATACAAAGAACAATTAGTATAAAATCAAGATAAGTTATACCAATATAACTTGATTTTAATTGTTTTAAATATTTTTTCTTACCCAAATATAATTATATTTCTTAAGAATTGATTACAATGAGAGAAACTGTCACTTTACCTAGGTCTTAATTATTATTTATTTCAGATTTAAAATCGTTCCTATAATTCAAATATCAAAAAAAAAATTTGTAGTAAACAAAAATTGATGTACCTTATTAGACATTTGTCAAAAGCTTAGGGGGGGAACTCCCCCCATCGCCCTATTGTAGCTTTATTCCTAGATCCAATCCTTAGAGTTATGAGTTTATTGGGTTTTTAGAATAAAAAGAGATATGTTAAATATTAATTTTGATAAGCACAGAAAAAGAATATAAATAGAAAGGAAAGTGTTAAATATATAATTAACTTTAATTTGGATACAATGAAAAATAAATGTTATTTTATAGATAAAATTCAAGGTTTGGGCCTTGAAACTAGCACTAAATATAAATTAATTTTTTTGAATACATTACACAGAGATGAGGGGTGCACTTTTTGTCAAATTAGACCAAGGGGAGTTCTCGTAAATTGTTTGCGTGAAAATTGGTCTGAAGACACTCTAATCATGAAAAAAAGATTGATATAATTATAATATCATATAATATTATAAGTTTGTAATATAATGTGTTATTATATAATTGATTATTTTCATTTAGCGATTCACTTATGATATTGTATGTATTCACATAATTAATGACACGTTGCACTCGTTTAATATATATTATAAACTTATAATTTTATATAACATTATCAATAAAAAAACAAATACATCATTAGTATAAAATTTACATAAAATAATCCACAATCTCTGCAATCTACTGAATTTTTATTAAACTTTAATTTAAATTAATTTGGGAAATCAAAAACAGGTAACGCTAGGAATTGGAAATGATAATTTTTATCAGCAAGGTAGGCCG